GCTGGCCTTCCTTACCTGGGAGCCAGAGCAGCAGGAGCCCCAGCAGCTGAGTGGGGGCCCTCATGTCCATGCTGGGTCCTGCCTGGCACTGCCTCCTGCATGGGGCGGGAGCAGCCTGCTCCTAAATGCCCAGAGAGGTGGGCGGTGCTCTGGGGACATGCAAATCCACAGGGGCGGGGCAGGGTGTGCCCAGGTGAAGGGCCCAGGGCAGCTCAGAACTCACCCAGGGGCTGTGTCTCCAGCTGCCCAGCTCAGACCAGGGCTGCACAAGTTTACCTGTAGTGCACATGCTTCTACCGGGAGATGTCACATCCCAAAGTCATTGAGGGACATTTGCCATCACTTTAAATGAACTAGAAGACAAGATAACGTAATCTGTTCAAGATTACCTTGGGATTCTATAGGAGAAAGTCCCTTTCCCAGGGAATATTAAGTTACACCTTAAAGCTAAGACCATGGATTTAACCTGCTTTTCCTCTGATGCCCTCTCATTGTCCCCTCACGGCAGACCGCTGCACCAGGGAGATGGTCTCTGAGAGACGAGACTTCTGTCCACACTCACCTCTGAATCAAGCAACTGCCAGTTTGAGACCAGGACTCAGAAGGAGAACGCAGGTGCTTAGAGGAGAGAACGCAAGTGTGTGCCCTCCCATGCAGCCAGAGTTCTGAGTCAGGGATACAAGAGGAAGAGGTAAGTCAATTTCAAGGAGTCACCACAGGTCTCAGAAACTCCAAGAAAAATAACTTCCCTCTCTCCCCTGTCCTGAAATGTTCATACTTTTCTTAGGAAATGCAGGAGAGGAGTTAAGGCTGGAATCGTGGCACAGTGCATAAGGCTGTCACTTGCAAAGCCAGCAGCCTACATCAGAGACTGCTTTGAATCCCACTTCTCCACTTCTGATCCCATTTCCTGCTAACACACACCCCGGGAGGCAGCAGAAAATGGCCCAAGTTCTTGGATTCCTGCCCCACATGGGAGACCCAGGGGCAGCTTTGCTCTGGGCTTCTGCTTTGCCAGAACTCACTGTAACAGCCATTTGTAGAGTGCACAGGTTACAGAAGATGTAGGGGACCTGAAAGAAGTTGCATGCCCCAGTGCAGCCATTGGAGGAGTGTACCAACAGATGAAAGAGAACTCTCTCTCTCCCTGTCACTGTGTGTGTGGGGGGTGGGGGTGGCGGGTGGGGTGTGTGTGTGTGTGTGTGTGTGTGTGTGTAAAGCTTGTGCTTTCAATAAGCAAATAAATCTTTTTAAAAGACTGTATACATGAAATTTGTAAATTGGTATCCTTTATAAAATTTTATAATCACCTGTATTTAAAATATTTTTCCTTGTAATATCTATAATATTTTCTCATTTGCTCTATGAATCTCAATGATGCTCTAGCTTTGAATACTCAGAAAGAATAGTTGCTTTCCTTTAAAACAGTAGGGACATGGTCATGTCTGTGCTGCTGCCGCCAAGGAGGAGGAAAGGAGGGAGCCTCAGAGGAGTCAGCCTGGCCCCTTCCACCCGACCCTGCAGGACCTTCAAGCCTGGCTGCTCTGAGAATCACTCTCAGCAGATGGGGCCCAGGAGCAGCTAGGGCAGCCCAGCCTCACACTTCTGCTTTCCTGGGGGATTTTGTTAGGGCTTGGAACACTGTGGCACCAGAACTACTACTACCATAAGTGCTTTGACAGTAGTAAATGGCAGCATCGTCACACTCCAGGTCGCTGATGGTGAGAGTGAACTCTGTCCCAGATCCACTGCCTTTGAACCACGATGGGACCCCAGATGCCAGTTTCGATGCCTGGTAAATCAGGAGCTTGGGACGCTGCCCTGGTTTCTGCTGATACCAGGATAACCAACTATTAATGCTCTGACTGGCCTGGCAATTGATGGTGACTGTGCCTCCCACAGCTGCAGACACCGAGGCTGGAGTCTGGGTCATCACAATTTGGGCAAATGTGGCACCTGAGGAGGGAAACAGAAACACAGAGACCACACTCATCCTCACGTTCTAAGAGGATGCTCCTGCAGAGACAGCAGCCCTGGCCACACTGCCCGAGGCCGTTCCTGCTGCTGGCCTTCCTTACCTGGGAGCCAGAGCAGCAGGAGCCCCAGCAGCTGAGTGGGGGCCCTCGTGTCCATGCTGGGTCCTGGCTGGCACTGCCTCCTGCATGGGGCGGGAGCAGCCTGCTCCTAAATTTGGAGCAGATACTGGAGGAGAAAGTCCTTTATTCTGGGGAGATTGTGCTAACTTCTTAGAATATGCAACCAGCACCTGCTCACCATTCGAGTTTGGGTAAACCATCCTGCTTGCTGAGATGCACAAATCAGTTAGCAGAATTCTCTACAACCCCTCAGCACCTGCACACAGGTGCCATGTCCCCAGGTGTCCACAGCAGACCCAGGTTGCACAGGTTTCCTACAGAGAATGTCTCTCTGGGGTCTCACCAGAGAGGGGACCAGTGTGGGTAGAGGTCCACGCTCTCCTCAAGGCTCAGCCCAGCTTTGCTGCTGCTGCTCCACCTGTGACAGGGGCTGCAGGGCTTGCACAGCCCAGAACCTGGAGAAGCTGAGCAGCTCCTCAGTGTGGTTCTGGTGGACGTCACTGAGGCCAGGGCGGCTTCTGTTTTCTCTATTTCCCTAATGGCCTTGGTGTGACGTAAAAGAGCCATGAATCGAAACATGGCGAGGGCTATGATTTTTCAAGAAGTGGCTGTGCGTGGGTCCTGCCACACACTGGGAGTCATCTGGAGTTCTGTGCTCTTTTCTTCAGCCCGACTCAACCTCAGCTGACAGGATCTCCTAGGAAGTAGCAGCACATGGAAGATTCTCTATGTCTCTCTCTTTCTAGCTCTCGCTCTTGCTCCCCTCCCCCCACTCAGTCTTTCTCATTTTGTACCTCATCAATGCTCAGATTTTCAAGTAAATAAACAAACTTTATGGAAAATGGAAAGAGTGAACATTTAAGAGAATTATCTTCACTAGAAATAAAGATTAATTATAGGACAAGACACCCTTGCTAAACTGGGTTCCTCTTTTTTATCTCCAGTGTCTGGGCACTGATTCTTCCACTGGCCTGTGTGCTCCTGGTTTCAGGCTTCAGTGATTTAAGAAATTTAAAAAGCTTTTTCCTGAATCAAAGGACAATTTCCCTGTCTGACCCTTACTGAGACTACAGTTATTTTATTTTTCAGGAAACACAAATGTTGAACTGCCCGATACGTTCCCTCTGCCTCTGCCCCTGAGACAGGAGGATGCACTAAGTGGACCTGGACACACTCTGCCTACTTGTACCGAGCAATGGCAGTGCTCCAGGGAGGAATCTCACACACAGCACAGTGGGAGCAGGTGGAGAACCTTCTATGTGTGTGCATTATCTCCCTGCCCACTAAAATTTAAGCTCTATGAGATGAAGGGCTCTGTCCAAATTTTTACAGTAATCCTACGCCTAGGAGATTGTGATACTGTTATTTGTGTGCCACTGTGTGCTAATGATGAAGCCACTATTGTTCAATTTGATGAGAATGTTCTAGTTGGTTTTGCATTGAATGAAGAACTGCTCAAGCAGATTGAAATCTGACGCGATTCCACCTGTGACCCCCCGGGGGCAGCAGTGAGCCTCAGGTCTGGTAGTGACAGAGGGATTGGGAGGAAGAGACTCACACCTTGACTAGACTCTTGAGGAACAGTGGTTTTGCTGCTACTCCGTGTTGAATTCTTTGTCTAGTGGAGGGTGAAGCTGGTGATTATAGAGTGAAAGTACGTCAGTGTAGAACTTAAACGAAACAGAAGAGGAGTGGGGGGGGGGGGCGGGTGGAAGGAGGTGCAGGCAGCCTTTGGACAAATCAAGGCCAGTCTTGGCTTATGCAGTTCTTGGGATAAGAAAGTCACATGCTCCCATCCTGAAGGACGATGATAATCAAGAACGCTCTGTTAACAGTATCTGCGTTACCAGAGCCCCGATAAGTTGCTTACATATGTTGTTATCTTTTGTGCTTCTTTGTGCTGGTTATGTATAAATACCACTGAGACATAGGAATAAAGGAGACTTGATCAAGCTTGTTGTCTTGGCTGCATTCTCTGCGATCTCCTGTCCCTATTTTCGGTCCCTCTCCCTCCCTTAGGTTCCGTTCGACTGGTGTGGCTGGACCGCACAGGAGGGAGGACATGGTGGGAAGTGGCATTATGCTCTCACCACTGTGGATAGGATGGGCCGAACCTCTGTAGTGGGTAAAGCCACCTCACACAGTACCAGCATCCCACATGGGCACCGGTGGGAGTCCTGGCTTCTCATCTTCCAATCCAGCTCCCTGCTTGGCCTGGAAAGCACCTGGAGCTGGCCCACGTGTTTGAGCTCCGGCACCATGTGGGAGAATGAAAGGAGTTCTCTCTCCTAGCTCTGCCAGGCACTGCTCGGCCATTGCAGCCATTTGGGGAGTAACCAGAGGACGGAAGATAAGTCTATCGTCTATCTCTCCCTCAAAGTTTCATTCTCTCTCTCTCTCTCTCTCTCTCTCCTGCCTTCCTCTCCCCCCCCCCCCCCCCGAGTCTGTGTGTATGTGTGTGTATGTGTGTAGCAGAGACTTTGGATAAGCAAATAAATCTTTTTAAAAAACTGTAGCTATGAAATTGATACTCTTTATAGAATTTATATTATCACTTGCAGTTAAACTCATTTGGCTTGGAATACATATACTGATTTCTCTTTTGCTCTATGAATCGTTAATGAGGCTCCAGCTTTGATAATCAGAAAGAATAATTGCTTTCCTTTAGAACAGCAGGGACATGGTCATGTCTGTGCTGCTGCCACCAAGGAGGAGGAAGGAGGGAGCCTCAGAGGAGTCAGCCTGGCCCCTTCCACCCGACCCTGCAGGACCTTCAAGCCTGGCTGCTCTGAGAATCACTCTCAGCAGATGGGGCCCAGGACGAGCAGCTGGGGCAGCCCAGCCTCACACTTCTGCTTTCCTGGGGGGTTTTGTTAGGGCTTGTAACACTGTAGCACCAGCACTACTACCATAATAGTTTTGACAGTAGTAAGTGGCAGCATCGGCACACTCCAGGTCGCTGATGGTGAGAGTGAACTCTGTCCCAGATCCACTGCCTTTGAACCGCGATGGGACCCCAGATGCCAGAGTAGATGCCAGATAGATCAGGAGCTTGGGAGGCTGCCCTGATTTCTGCTGATACCAGGATAATTCATTGCTAATGCTCTGACTGGCCTGGCAATTGATGGTGACTGTGCCTCCCACAGCTCCAGACACGGGGGATGGAGTCTGGGTCATCACGATGTTGGCACATCTGGCACCTGAGAAGGGAAACAGAAACACAGAGACCACACTCATCCTCACGTTCTAAGAGGACGCTCCTGCAGAGACAGGCAGCCCTGGCCACACTGCCCGAGGCCGTTCCTGCTGCTGGCCTTCCTTACCTGGGAGCCAGAGCAGCAGGAGCCCCAGCAGCTGAGTGGGGGCCCTCGTGTCCATGCTGGGTCCTGCCTGGCACTGCCTCCTGCATGGGGCGGGAGCAGCCTGCTCCTAAATGCCCAGAGAGGTGGGCGGTGCCCTGGGGACATGCAAATGAGCAGGGGTGGGGCAGGGCTGTGCCAGCTGAAGGGCCCAGGGCAGCTCAGAACTCAGCCCAGGGACTGTGTCTCCAGCTGCCCCAGCTCAGACCAGGGCTCCACAAGTTTACCTGATGTGTGCATCCTTCCACCAGGAGACATCACCTCCCAAATTCCCTGAGGGACATTTGCCAACCCTGTAATTGAACTGGAGGACAAGAAGGTGTAATTTGTTCATGGTTATGGTGGAATTCTTTAGTAGAAAGTCGATTTTCTAGGGAATACTTAGTTACACCTTAAAGCTGAGGTCCATGTCTTTACCTGTTTGTCCTTTGATCCCTCATCTTGTCCCCTCACAGCAGACCCCTGCACCAGGGAGATGGTCCCTGAGATTCGAGACTTCTGCCCACACTCACCTCTGTACTGATCAGAATAAACATCCTCAGAAAAAGCGACTGCCAGAGACCAGGACTCAGGAGAACGCAGGTGCTTAGAGGAGAGATCACACATGTGTGCTCTCCCACCTGCAGCCAGAGTGCTGAGTCAAGGATGCAAGAGGAAAGAAAAGTGAAAGTTCAAGGCCTCACTATAGGTCTGAAGACATCAAGAAAAATAATTTCCCTCACTCCTCTCTCCTGAAACCTTCACTTTATCTCTAAGAAAATCTAGAGAGGAGGGTAGACTGGCATCGTGGCACAGTGGATTAAGTTGCCACTTGCAAAGCCAGCAGCCTACATCAGAGACTGGATTGAACCCCTCCCTCTCTCTCTCCCACTCAAATAAAAATAAATACATACACAATTTTAAAAAACTCTTTCCAGGGCTGATTTCTTATTTGCAGATGCCCATCAGCCTCTGGCAGACAATCAGCAGGACAGTATGAACACTAAATCCACACCGGGGGAAATTTTTTTTCTTTTTCACAGTTCGCTGTGGTACTCAGTTTGTTGTTATTGTTGTTGTTGTGTTGTTGTGTAAAGAAATTTTCCATTTCAGAATAGCTTTAAATTTACAAATCAAAAAATTGTGAAGCAGTACACACAGTGCCTTTCCACTGCACACCCAGCTGACAGCTCACATCCATGCGTTCGTCACAATCGGTAAACGACACCCAGCTTTCCTGTTGTGAACATTTGCTGTTAGTGGATGGGAAAAAAGACAGTGGGCACCTGGTGGGAAACTGAAGATGGGCTTTCTTCTGAACCACGGGGTCCCCGCCCGCTGCTGTCCACTCGGATGCTCTGCAGCTCCCAGCAACACTGCTCCTCCACCTTTTCCACCCCCATAACACAGAGCCTGACAGCAAAAGGAACCTGGGAAGCCCTCTGTCCCTCCCACCTAGACTCAGGGAACAGGAGGCCAGAGCACCGGGTCTTCTCCCGCTCAGCAGCACTGAGACTAAACCAGGCTCTTCAGCTCCTAATCTGAGCTCTTTTCCTCTTCTCACTCTGCTCTCTCCGTGCAAAGCCCAGCACAGCAGGCTGCACAGAATCTCTGTGTGACTTGACTGTTGTGAGCACTCCAGCTGCACTCCATTAGGAGGCTGTGATAGGGGCTCATTGTTCTCAAGCCCACAAAGGAAAGTAAATAAATACCTTCTTCTCTGCTACTTTTTTTTAAAGATTTGTTTATTTGAAAGTCAGAGTTACACAGAGAGTGAAGGAGAGGCAGAGATTGAGACACAGAGAGAGAGAGAGAGAGACAGGGAAAGATATTCCATCCACTGGTACACTCCGCAACTGGCCACAATGGCTGGAACTGCGCCAATCTGAAGACAGGAGCCAGGAGCTTCTTCCAGTTCTCCCATGTGGGTGCAGGGGTCCAGCCGCTTGGGCCATCTTCTACTGCTTTCCCAGGCCACAGCAGGGAGCAGAAACAAGTGTTTCAGCCTTGGCACCCATATAGGAGACCTGAAAGACATTCCATCTCCCGGGCCTGGTGCTGTGGCACAGAGGGTTAAAGACCTGGCCTGAAGCGCCAGCATCCCATATGGGTGCCGGTTCTAGTCCCAGCTGCTCCTCTTCCAATCCAGCTCTCCCCTATGGCCTGGTATAGCAGTGGAAAATGGCCCAAATGTTTGGGCCCCTGCACCAGCATGTGAGACCAGAAGAAGCTCCTGGCTTCGGATCAGCACAGCTTGGCTTTTGCAGCCATCTGGGGAGTGAACCAGCGGATAGAAGACATCTTTCTCTGCACATCTCTCTGTAACTCTGTCTTTCAAATCAATAAAGTAAATCTTAAAAAGAAGAAAAGAAAAGAAATTCCGTCGCCCAGCTTTTGGCAGGCCCAGCCTCAGCTGGTGAGCCATTGGAGGAGAAAACCAGCAGATGAAAGAGAACTCTCTCTCCACTTTGTGTGTGTGTGTGTGTGTGTGTGTCTGTTAAAGCATGGGCTTTCATAAGCAAAAATCTTTTAAAAAGCTCTACATATAAAAAACTGTACATATGAAATTTGTATCCTTTATAAAATGTAATAATCACCTGTATTTAAAATATTTTTCCTTGTAATATCTATAATGCTTTCTCTTTTACTCCATGAATCCCGAATGATGCTCTAGCTTCCATATTCAGAAAGAATAGTTGATTTCCTTTAGAACAGTAGGGACATGGTCATGTCAGTGCTGCTGCCACCAAGGAGGAGGAAAGGAGGGAGCCTCAGAGGAGTCAGCCTGGCCCCTTCCACCCGACCCTGCAGGACCTTCAAGCCTGGCTGCTCTGTGAATCACTCTCAGAAGATGGGGCCCAGGAGCAGCAGCGGGGGCAGCCCAGCCTCACACTTCTGCTTTCCTGCTGGTTTTTCTTAGGGCTTGTAACACTGTGGAACCAGTACTACCACTACCACCATTATTGTTTTGACAGTAGTAAGTGGCAGCATCGGCACACTCCAGGTCGCTGATGGTGAGAGTGAACTGTGTCCCAGATCCACTGCCTTTGAACCGCGATGGGACCCCAGATGCCAGAGTGGATGCAGAATAGATCAGGAGCTTGGGAGGCTGCCCTGGTTTCTGCTGATACCAGGCCAATAAGCTATAAATGTCCTCACTGGCCTGGCACTTGATGGTGACTGTGCCTCCCACAGGTTCAGACGCGGAAGGTGGAGTCTGGGTCAGCACAGGGTCACATATGGCACCTGAGGAGGGAAACAGAAACACAGAGACCACACTCATCCTCACATTCTAAGAGGACGCTCCTGCAGAGACAGGCAGCCCTGGCCACACTGCCCGAGGCCATTCCTGCTGCTGGCCTTCCTTACCTGGGAGCCAGAGCAGCAGGAGCCCCAGCAGCTGAGTGGGGGCCCTCGTGTCCATGCTGGGTCCTGCCTGGCACTGCCTCCTGCATGGGGCGGGAGCAGCCTGCTCCTAAATGCCCAGAGAGGTGGGTGGTGCTCTGGGGACATGCAAATGAGCAGGGGTGGGGCAGGGCTGTGCCCAGCTGAAGGGCCCAGGGCAGCTCAGAACTCAGCCCAGGGGCTGTGTCTCCAGCTGCCCCAGCTCAGACCAGGGCTCCACAAGTTTACCTGATGTGTGCATCCTTCCACCAGGAGACATCACCTCCCGAATTCCCTGAGGGCATTTGCCAACCCTATAATTGAACTGGAGGACAAGAAGGTGTAATTTGTTCATGGTTATGGTGGAATTCTTTAGTAGAAAGTGCATTTTCTAGGGAATACTTAGTTACACCTTAAAGCTGAGGTCCATGTCTTTCACCTGTTTGTCCTTTGATCCCTCATCTTGTCCCCTCATGGCAGACCGCTGCACCAGGGAGATGGTCTCTGAGAGACGAGACTTCTGCCCACACTCACCTCTGTACTGATCAGAATAAACATCCTCAGAACAAGCGGCTGCCAGAGACCAGGACTCAGAAGGAGAACGCAGGTGCTTAGAGGAGAGATCACACATGTGTGCTCTCCCACCTGCAGCCAGAGTTCTGAGGCAAGGATACAGGAGGAAAGAAAAGTGAAAGTTCAAGACCTCACCATAGGTCTGAAGATATCAAGAAAAATAACTTCCTTCTCTCCTCTCTCCTGAAAACTTCACTTTATCTCTAAGAAAATCTACAGAAGAGGGTAGACTGGCATCATGGCACATGGATTAAGTTACCACTTGCAAAGCCAGCAGACTACATCAGAGACTGGATTGAACCCCACTGCTCCACTTCTGATCGCATTTCCTGCTAATGCACACTAAAACTGGGCTCCATTTTTTTTATATCCAGTGTGTGGGCACTGATTATTCCCTCTGACCTGTGTGCTGAATGACTTTATGCTACAGGGACATGAGAAATCTTAAAATCTTTTGTCAGGGACAGTTTGTCTACCCGACCATCACCGAGAGTACAATGAGTTTATTTTTCAGGAAACACAGTGGGGAGTTGCCCGATACATTCCCTCTCCTCTGCCTCTGCCTCTGCCCTGTCTAGGTGGAGACAGAAGGAGGCACACATGCACCTGCACACCCACAGCCCCATTGTCCTGAGCACTGGCCCTGCTCCATGGGAGGCACATCACATGGACACAGTGGGAGCACAGTTGGAACGTCATTGGTTTGTTTCTCATCTGCCGGCCCACTAAAATGAAAGATCTATGACATAAAGGGCTCTGTTCGACTTCTTCCAATTATTTTAGGGCTAAGAATTTGTGCTACTATTCATTGTGTGCCTTTATGTGCCAACAGTGAAGCTGCTATGATGCAATTGGATGAGAATGTTCTATTTGATTTTGCATTGAATCAAGAACTACTCCATCAGAGATTGAAAAATGACACGATTGCACATGTGACCCCCATTTATTTTCTTAAATGTAATATTCCCCATTTTTAAAAATATTTATTTACTTATTTACTTGAAAGACTGAGCATTGGTGAAGGACAAAGTGAGAGAGAAAAAGAGAGAGAGAGAGAATCCTCCATGTGCTGGTAGTTTCCCGGATGACCCTGCCAGCTGAGGCTGGGTTGGCCACAGTCCAGAGCACAGAACTCCATGTAGGACTCCCAGTGTGTGGCAGGATCCAAGCACAGCCATTTTATAAATCATAGCCCTCGCCATGTTTTCTATTTATTGCTCTTTTATGTCACAAAGGCCATTAGGAAATAAGAGAAAGGAGAAGCCGCCCTGGCCTCAGTGACGTCCACCAGAACCACACTGAGGAGCTGCTCAGCTTCTCCAGGTTCTGGGCTGTGCAAGCCCTGCAGCCCCTGTCACAGGTGGGACAGTAGCAGCAAAGCTGGGCTGAGCCGTGAGGAGAGCGTGGACCTCTACCCACACTGGTCCTCTCTCTGCTGAGACACCAGAGAGACAATCTCTGGAGGAAACCTGTGCAACCTGGGTCTGATGTGGACCCCTGGGGACACTGCCCCTGTGTGCAGGTGCTGATGGATCAGAGAATTCTCCTATTGGACTGCATCTCAGCAGGCACGGAAGGTTACCCAAAGTGTGTACTGCAGCCGCCAAAAAGGAGGAAAGGAGGGAGCCTCAGAGGAGTCACCCTGGCCCCTTCCACCCGACCCTGCAGGACCTTCAAGCCTGGCTGCTCTGAGAATCACTCTCAGCAGATGGGGCCCAGGAGGACCAGCTGGGGCAGCCCAGCCTCACACTTCTGCTTTCCTGGGGGGTTTTTGTTAGGGCTTGTATCACTGTGGCACCATAACTACTACTACTACTACCATAATTGCTTTGACAGTAGTAAGTGGCAGCATCGGCACACTCCAGGTCGCTGATGGTGAGAGTGAAATCTGTCCCAGATCCACTGCCTTTGAACCGCGATGGGACCCCAGATGCCAGAGTGGATGCCTTGTAGATCAGGCGCTTGGGAGGCTGCCCTGGTTTCTGCTGATACCAGGATAAGTAACTACTAATGCTCTGACTGGCCTGGCACTTGATGGTGACTGTGCCTCCCACAGGTTCAGACACGGAGGCTGGAGTCTGGGTCATCACAATGTCAGCACATCTGGCACCTGAGGAGGGAAACAGAAACACAGAGACCACACTCATCCTCACGTTCTAAGAGGACGCTCCTGCAGAGACGGGCAGCCCTGGCAACACTGCCCGAGGCCGTTCCTGCTGCTGGCCTTCCTTACCTGGGAGCCAGAGCAGCAGGAGCCCCAGCAGCTGAGTGGGGGCCCTCATGTCCATGCTGGGTCCTGCCTGGCACTGCCTCCTGCATGGGGTGGGAGCAGCCTGCTCCTAAATGCCCAGAGAGGTGGGCGGTGCTCTGGGGACATGCAAATGAGCAGGGGCGGGGCAGGGCTGTGCCCAGCTGAAGGGCCCAGGGCAGCTCAGAGCTCAGCCCAGGGGCTGTGTCTCCAGCTGCCCCAGCTCAGACCAGGGCTGCACAAGTTTACCTGATGTGTGCATCCTTCCACCATGAGACGTCACCTCCCAAACTTTCTGAGGGGCATTTGCCAAAATTGTGAGTTTATCGGACAAGATGGTGTAATAAATTCATGGTTATCTGGGATCTGTAGGAGAAAGTTCCTTTTCTTTAAAATAGGTAGTAAACTAATTTTTGCCTAGAAATTTCCTTTTCTTTAAAATAGATAGTAAACTAATTTTGCCTAAGGCCATTTCTTTACTTGTGTTCTGATGCCCTCACGTTGTCCCCTCACGGCAGACCGCTGCACCAGGGAGATGGTCTCTGAGACAGGAGACTTTTGTCCACACTCACCTCTGAAACTGTTCAGAATAAACATCCTCAGAACAAGCGGCTGCCAGAGAGAGATCAGGACTCAGAAGAACGCAGGTGCTTAGAGGAGAGATCACACAGGTGCGCTCTCCCACCTGCAGCCTGAGTTCTGATCAGGTTGCATAACAAAAAAAGAAGTGAAAGTTCAAGGCTTCATCATAGGTCTCGGGAACATCAAGGAAATTAACTTCCCTCTCTCCCCTCTTCAGAAACGTTCACGTTTGTCTTAAGAAAATCCAGAGAGGAGGGAAGGCTGGCATCGTGGCACAGTGGATTAGCTGCCACTTGCAAAGCCAGCAGCCTACATCAGAGACTGCTTTGATTCCCCACTGCTCCACTGCTGGCCACACCTGAGTGGCCACCGGTCAATCAGGTGAATTAACCACTCCCCTTTGGAAGTGGATTAAAAGCCTGGGATATGGTGTGTCTGGCCTTTTTCCCTCCCTTCTTTCCCTGGCTTCTTGCCAGTAGGGGGCTGGCTGCAGCCCTGTGCCTCCATGGTGTGTTGCCTTTGGCTACCCGCCCCACGCTTCCTGGCCTAGATGTTCCTCCACGTGGCTGGTTCCTGGTACTTGGTATGAACCCACATTTACCTCTCTGCTTTAGATGGGGCCCTCACTCTCCTATGCATCTTTCTCACTGAATAAATGCTTAAAATGTACCATGCTGCCTCGTTCACCTATGCCAGTATTTAGAATTCTCTGAATATTAGGCAAGAACCCACATGGGATTATTAATATGGGGAACTTATTAGTAAGCATATGGTGATATCATATGGCACCCCAAATTATATTTTTTGAAGGTCAAATTGCAATATCAGGAGCATAGGTAGAACATTGTTGGTTTGAGTACCATCAGCCCTGCCCACTACCATGGAAGATCTGTGAGATGAAGGGCTCTGTTCGATGTTTCCACTTAGTCTACATCTACAAGAGATGTGAATCCATTAGTTGTGTGCCATTGCGTGCAAACAATGAAGTTACTATTGGTTCAATTCCATGAGAATTTTCTATTTGATTTCAGATTAAATGAAGAACTGCTCTATCAGGGATTGAAAGCTGACATGATTCCACCTGAGACCCCCAGGGGGCACAAGTGCACCTCAGGTCTGGTAGTGACAGAGGTATTGGGGGGATTGAGACTCACAGCCTTGTCTTTGGGATGAGGAACAGTGGTTTTCTGCTTACTACATGTTGAATTTTGTATATATGGAGGGCTGAGCTAGTGTTTATAAAGTACATTGAAAGTATGTCTTTCAAAAGTTAAAACAGGGGCCAGCTGTGGTGCAGCGGGTTAATGCCCTGGCCTGATGTGCCGGCATCCCATGTGGGTGATGGT